CTCAAACTTTTGCCTAAAAATTCCAAAATTTTCCATCCTAGCTAGCTAAAAATAAATAATGATTTTATTGAATGATGGGAAATAGTAATTTAAGTCTTACCATAATTATCTGTTATCCAATAAGTCTTTTCTATGTAGATTTTGAATTTAAGCAATTTTCCGTATCCTACAATAATTTAAATCGATTTCCTAAATTGACTCAAGTCATATTTTTCTTTCTACGATTGCAATCTTTTCCAAATTGTGCATATACAAAAGTGTCTACCAATCTCTTTTATATACCACATGCTCCACTTTGGAAATCTTTATTACTATTCTCCTCCTGAAAATCATTTGCATCCATCTCGAACCTAATTATTAAAAATTTGGTAGAAGGAAAATGACTATAAAGAACGCATAATAAGGATGCCTAATCATACTTCCATACCAATAATCAATCTGGCATGATGCCTTCGTTTTCTGAGGGAGGCTCCATCTTCTCAATTCGAACCGATATTTTCTCTCACTATCTGATCCGGGAGTATCTTATTGTATTTATCTACATTTTTTCATTTTTTTCTTGGCTCGTTGCTTATGCTCTTCTTTGCTCGGTGGACATATCTTCCGCTTCCATCCCCTGCTTCAAATCCTCCAAACCCAGAAGTTTGAAAGGACTAAGGAGAAAGACGATGAGTTCGTATTGTATTGAAAGCGATTATACGACTTTTTCGAGTTTTGAAAGCTCTCATATCTTGATCTAGATTTAGTTCTGAGAGTTCCTTAGTAGCATTTCTGTGCTCGTTCAATCTCTCTCGATCTAGATCTAGATTTCGAAACTTGTTGAACCTGTTTTTGGTGTCTCCATACAATGCTGGTAGTGAGGATGCTAAACCTAAGCGTGCAACGTCCACCAGGCAAGCCGTAGCTATTAGAGAAAGACATTTCAGTATGTGCTCATCACTTATGATGATGCGAGATTCGGTGATCAGCCGTCGTTCGTTCTGTTTTGATGCTAAGATAGAACTGTTCTTGTGGGATGATTGTATGCTTATCAAAGCAGTTTGTGCTTTATTATTACTTTGTTGTTTGGGATTTATTTTGTCTTAAACCTCTCCTGTATCACTTTGAGATCTTGAGATATTAATGAAATATTTACTTTCAACCCAAAATGGACAAAATAGATTCTTCCAAGGGGCGTCAATATAATTTTCCAATACACGGAGATTCCACGCAACTTTGCGGGGCCACGAGAATCATTAATCTAGTTTTACCCCTGATTTCATTTGTATTGGGGTCAATCGGCATCTCGAGTCACCTTTTACGCACACGACTAACATCCCATCTTCGATCCACTCAAACCTATGCTATCCATGTTTAGGTCAGATGATTCACGAGGAATTACTTTATATGTTGCTGTAGTCTTGGAAGATAACAAAATTTGAGACCATAATAATTCTTTTGAGTTGAGAAATCAACTTACCGAATCATCCATCATTGAAAGCATCGACTTGTCGATCCTGTTCATAACGCATCTAGCCCACTTTGATTAATCTTGCCTTGAGAAATCTTAGGGTTTTTTAGGCCCACTACGTATTAGAGATATCTAACAATAGGAACATGAAGCCCACCAACTTACCGATAGTTGGGCTTAATTAGTATAATGATATTCATTTTGATGATGATAACCAACTTACCCGTTAATTAAATTTCAATCAATTGAAAATAAAAAACCTTAATTAGTATAATCATATACGTTGTGACGGAATGCTTATTGCTAAGCGATGCTCTAAATTATTAAAATTATAACATACAATTGCATAACGAAGAGAGAAATAGTTCTGTTTTAGTTGAGTTTTTTCTTTTGAATTTCTCTGGTCATTCGGTCTTGCGCTTCATTCGCCAATTATGGATTTTCTTTCTCCATACACAAAATTATTGTGAATTGTTGTTGGGTTATCATTATCTCACCTACACATGTTGGGTTCAAATAGTAATAAATTCTATAGTTTGACCAAAAATAAGTAAACCTAAGATATGAAAAGATATAACATCGTGATTTAACCACTAATTAAGTGACTTAGTCAGTCTCCAAATTAACCGACTCAGCACTGCGCTTAAAACAAGTCAATTGCAAAATCAAGATTCGTCAAAGCTTGGTTAAAGAGATATAAAGCCTCTAAATCTGAAAATAAACTTTGTTTTTCTTTTTTCTTAACAAACACACAAGAATATAGCAGATAGCATTTCATTATATAAGTATATATAGCTCTATGACTATGGGTGATCGGTTTCAGGGTAGGTGGTTCTCACCCCGGCAACCACCCATTAAGGGCCGGTTCCACAAAATGGGAACTATGAACCGTCCGCTGGTTTCATGAAACTAGTCTACAGAGACAAAGAAAATGGACGATTTGAAAATGGAGATCTAAAATTTTCAACGAAAAAACCTATTAATCTCCTTCCAAGGAACTATCTTAAAACCACATTAAACACAGAAACAGAAGCACCAAAACAAACTCAACAAAAGAAAGGACCCCAGCAGCCTCAGATCCGATACGGAGTACGCCAAGATAAAGTAAATCAACCAATATTATACAAACCCATCAAGCAAGCCGAGAAATCGAACATTTGCAGCATTTTAGCCATCAAATCAAAAGCCCGGAAACTCCATTAAGCCCTGAGAGATAGACAGATAGAGAGAGAGAGAGAGAGAGAGGGGCAAAACTATGGTGAAGACGAGGGTGCAAGTCGAGAGAGAGAGACGGGGGAGCTAAAGAGGAGGCTGGTTCGGGAGTTGAAGATGCGAAGTGGCGTTTTGAATTTAAAAGAAAGGGAGTGAGGAGACCGGAGGGGACCGAGAGCGAGAGAGGGAGGCGAGGCTCTCGCTGTGACTGCGTGGGACGGCTAGAGGTGCGGCCGAGTTGAGACCGAGAGCGAAATAAGGGAATTAGGGTTTTGATTTTGAAAACTTAAGTATTAATATGTGTGTATACAAGGTCAAGGTGGTCCGGATGGGTGATTTCGTCCTGGAATCGAGAAATGCCCAGAGCCGGTCCATTCAAGCTATCCCGATTTTTTTTCGCACTCCTGACTATGACGTTAAGAGTTGACCAATTTTATTTTTTTTTTAGAGCGACCGACGAAATTGCCATAAAATCCCTTCGCACGCGTGCCTTTCCACGTATCTGGGGATCAAACCATCTGTCAAGACATCTTTTGCCCAAGATTACCTGTGAATGGTATCATGTACTGCACAAACGTCAGCTACAACGGTTGTCTCATTCACTTTTGGCAGGATCGAGAAATATAATAGGTCATTTCGCAAATTCGAGTGATCCTGTGAAAGTTTGAATTATCCTGGTAAAAAGCCTCCTCCTCACGTATGCACCTACTTCCTACATATAAAATACCATTTCCACTTTCTGATGCATCCAATTTGCATGCTGAGTTTTGCCACGTACTTTCATATCAATTTGCATCCTCGTGGCTCCAGTTGTTTACGGTTATTGTCAATTTACATTCCCAAGCTGCCATAAAAGAAAAAAAGATCTCCAAACCCTAACATACACTTCTCTTTCCTACCCCATCACCGGGTGGCTGACAATTCCCTAGCCTAGTCCCTCGCCCTCGCCGACCTCGAACTCTAGGCTGCCGATGGTTACTACCTTAGATTTGGTCCAGATCGAGGCCATACAACTCGATCTGGACCAAATCGAGGCCTGATCTCTCCTGGCCATCGTTGTGGGAGACTAGCGACCTGTGCCACACAGCTCACACGGCTCCTAGATGCTCTGTCATGAAGCTTGTTGTGCTTGAGGGAACTCCCCGATCGTGCCCATCCCTACCAATGTCGAGCGCGGGTCGCTCGAGCTCCAATGACCCCAAGCCTTAAGCTTTATAAGAGAGTGGGGAGAGGGTAGTAAAATATGGGCTTTAAAAAGTCCAAAAGGAAAAAAAGAAAAAAAAACTTTGAAAAGTCAACACAAAGAGGAAAGAAGGCACGTTCAACAATAGGAGGCCGAGAGCTAGCATTAGAAAGGAAGGAGGGAAAAAGAAAGAAGAAGAAGAAGAAAGAAAAGGAAAGAAGAATAGGGATTTCGCGTGTATACGTCACGGATATCTCGCTGAGTCGGATTTAAAATTGGCTTCGACCATTTCCTCCCATCCGTATATCACCAAATTTTCTTGATGATAGTCTTTACATAGAATTAATGGAATTCAATGTAATCATCCCCCAAGGTTGGTACAATTGGTTGGGACGTTGGGGATTTCTAGCTCAGAAACCAAAAGTCACTCCTTTGAATCCCACAAACTGCGTGCAAATTGCTCTATGCCAAGACCAGTTTAGGGAGCTTGCAGAGTGTTTTATGAGTTTCCTAGTCGTGTAATAAGTATATAGAGAATAGTTGTATAATTTAGCCAAAAGTCTGTTTGGAGCTAAGGTATATTTTTCGATTTTATAATCAAGGATGCTAAATAAAATAAATAATTAAAATATGCGTTGGCTGTTTGAAGCCTAATTAAGTATTTTATTGCCTGTCATGTAGTAAGTACTGGGGACATTGAAACATAATTAAAAAAAGAAAGTTTGATTTGAAGGGTTGTGTCGTCACGTTGGGCAACCAATCTCAAAAGAGCTTCGTCTTGATCAGGGGCAAGGATGAATCTGCTCCCCAGATCAACCCGTTTTGAGGAAAACGAAGGAATCTCAATAGCTGTTCAATTTCTTTCTCTTGTTATTTTTATTGGTCCAAGCAAAGTTCGATACATGCACAGCTGCTTACTAGGTGCACGGGGGATTGTTACGTAAGATCGTGCATGCGATTTGTTAAAATAACACCAACAATTCCCAACCCTAGATGTGCCTTTCCTTGTTGCCAAATTTTCTTTTGGGGTAGTGTTTCTTGTTGACTAATTAATTGCATTAGTTGTTGACTTCGTGGAACCCTCTGTTTGCTGAGTGTATAGAAGCAGAGCGGGCTCGTTGGATCCTACCACGGGAGTTGAGCCGATCAAGTCTCGAATCTCAGTGCGTTTGGGGGTGTCTCTCGCCGATCAAAAGAGAAAGAGAATGAGGGTGAAGATGGAGGCGGAAGATGGCGGTGGAAACCCTACTCACAAGGCGCTGAACAAGAAGGTGGTGGCCATGCTGTACAAGGCGTTGGCAGCCGGCGACGGGGACACGGTCTCGAAGCTGGCGACGTCGAACGATGACTTGGAGTGGAGATACCACGGGCCTCCGCAGTGCCAGTACATGATGCGGGCGCTCACGGGTCACCACCGGCGGCACGAGCCGGAGGACCAGAAGTTCAAGTTCAAGCCCAGGAGGATCATGGCCTTCCGCGACCGGGTCATCGTCGAGGGTTGGGACGGACTGGATGACTACTGGGTGCACGTTTGGACCCTCAAGATGGATGGTTCCCGCCCCGTCATCGCCGAGTTCCGTGAGTACTTCAACACATGGCTCACCGTGCTCGTCCGATCCTTTGGTAAAGAGGTTAGGGTGTGGCAGAGCGAGCCTCGGTTGCATCGTAACCGCTCCTTGCCGGACATCGTCCTCGCTATTTGATCCGTGTTCCATTTCCTTTTGCATTTGATTCTCTTTTATGTATGAAATAAAAGTCTTATTGTAAAAATAAGGTGGTAGATAACGCAAGCATCGGTAGCTAGTCCACGGGGAGAGCCAATCGCAAAGGATCCACTATTTATAGCAAAGTTATAGAGTTGCAATTAATCAACTATATGTTCCTAAGTCCTAAGACACAAATCATCAGAAGCACTCATGTTTCTCTAGCCAAGTTTTGTTAGAAAATCCTAAGAGACTCTCTGTACAACTTGCGTTTGTGTTTTATTCCAAAAAGGAGAAAAAACTTACTTATAAATGGAAAAGTGCGTCAAAACACGTTCCCACTGAATATATAAAAAGAGCTGTTTGGATACCCGCTGTGATGCCCCAGAATGTCACACACGGCACGTGTCCTTTCTGTTTATACTCATAGTTATAATTACGCATGTAGAAGCACAATAAAATTTTCACAACATTCCTTACAAGAAAATTGCACGAGTTTAATAATATACATGTCTCATAACAAAATACATAGTCCTGCGAAGGGTCAAGGTCACTTAACAACGATACACCGATACTAACCAAACCACCATCTAACTCAAGGATTGATGGCCTCCAACATCATCTGGTTCCCTCCAGGGCCATGTCTAGGGGGACCATCTTACAAACTGAAAAATAAGGGATGAGCCGAAACTCAGTAAATGAAATCTCTAGGTCTAAGATAAGAGATCATCTTATCACTCAATCTGGTACTAACAAACAACACAAGATAATAATGAATGACGAGGGAGAGAGTAAATGCATTATATTTCATATCATGATATGTCGATGTAAACCGATAACAACATTGCATGAGATTTTTCCCTCAAATGTAAGCATATGGCATAACATATTATGAGACACGGTTATCACCAACGTGTTCATTAATAGACATATGAACTAACATTTATTTATATATGCATATATAGATATATTATTGTCATTACTTCTCATCCCGAACACTCCCGGGGCATCCCGACACACGGCGCATCATCACCACTAATATATGGGTGACGGAATATATATACGCACATATAACATAATACTTTCCATATTTAATCCCATAATAACCGTGCACATGGTAACATTATAGTCACATCATTTCCCTCGCATCTACAACAAAATCGACATTCATTTCCAAGAATCAACATCCGGTACTAAACACATTTTTATGCAAATCATTTTCGAAATACAATTACCTTGCTTTTTCAATGATTACATACATGGCTAATGATAATGACATGTTTACCTCATTTCTTTTCTCATGCAAGAATTGATAACATATTTAGAGAGTTGGCAACATAAACATCGATAACCCAATAATCAACAACATGAATATCGACAACTCAATTAATCAACAATGTGAACATCGACAACTCAATTAATTGATAACATGAACATCGACAACTCAAAGATTAATCACATGATTAATCGACAACACTTAGGGAGCGCATGATAATTATTCTGTTTCTCTATTTTTCTATTTTTTTGTTCCCAAGAACAGGTTTGGAATATAAATTCGTTCGGTAACGCAATTTCATTTTTCTATTTTTGGAACAAATTTCTACTCCAGAAATAGGTTTGGAACATAAATGAGAAATAAAAACTCTTCTCATCACTTGCCTTCACTGCTAACCGGCTGCCCACCCACCGCCCCTCGTCGCCGCCGGTTGTCTCCCACCCCGCTGGCCGTCATTGTCCGCCGCCTGCCGGCCGTCGTTCGTCGCCGTCCGCCACCGTCCCGGCCGCCTCCCGTCACCATCTCCCTCCGCCCGCTGTCTGCCATCCTTCGCCACCCAACGCCGACCGCCTCCCGTCGCCGTCCTCCATCGCTATCCGCCTCTCATTACCATCCTCCTCCGCCGCCCAATGCCAGCCACCTCCCGCCGCTATCCGCCTCCTGTCGCCGACCACCTCTCGCCACAGCTCGCCGTCCGCCATACGTTGCCTTCTGCTCACCGGCCGCTCGGGAGGGAGAAATTTTGTGTCGTGATCAAACGCATATTTTGGCTTAGAAACTTGTCCATGGAATAGAAATAGAAAAATGTATTTCTGGCATGAAATTGATTTCTGGAGCAGAATGGTTATCATTCGCGCCCTTAGCTAGTAATTCGGTAACTTAATCAAATTACAAAAATATCACTTTCAAGTTAGGTATTCGTTGTTTCCCCCATCTTTCACACTAAAAATTGTTATCACATCTTAGAGAAACAATCAAACACCGCTTAGGAAATCCATCAAACATCTCCTAGGCACGGAACAAGCTTAACGATCCAATTCAAGTAAACACAAAGATTTCACATATCATGATTAAAACTTACTTATAGTTGACAACGAAGGCCAAACAAAATATAACAACCATCAACTAACCCCTAGAATTTTCACTTACCTCGAATAAAGACTTGGACACTTAGCACCTTAATTACCTTCAAAGCAAGATAAGCAAGAAAAAAGATTAACAACTTTCAATCTTTTAATAAAACTAGTTTAAGAAAAAAGAATAAAGTCCACCAAATCACCTTGCAACTCTTGAAAGATAGAATTTTGAAGTTTTGATAAAACAATGAAGGGATCTTTACTTTTACTCGCGGAAATTGAAACGAAAGTTGAAGAAGGAAGTTGGTAGTTGGAAGTTAACGTAGTGGGGAATTCTATCTTTAGAACTTGAAAGCTCTCCGGAATCCATTTACATGGCCAAGGCAAGGGTTATAAAAGATGAGATCGGTTAACCAAAGTTGAAGTAATAAATGACCTCGGGTTAAAATGCTAGGTGTAAAAGTTAGAAAGATAAGTGTTCCAATAGAAATGTTTCATGTGGCCCTAAGTGAATAGCTAGGGTGTACAAGTGGCTTATTAAGAGTAACCAAGAGGAGATATTTTGGTTCAAATGAAATATGTCTCCTTCATGGCTAAGTAAGTTTTTTTTTTTTTTGATAATCGAGGTGTCCGCGCGGCCGGCGAGCTAGGGCTCAAACCAGCGGTGATGCCCGACTAGTCCTCGAGGAGGGCTAGCGCGGCATCCCACCGCCACGACCCCCCTTAAATCACGATGGGCGAGTTTGAACCCGGGACCTCTCGTGAAAGGAGCGGCGCAAACCAACGCTGGCCACGCCGATGGGTGGGTATGGCTAAGTAAGTTGATGAGTCATAAGGGCATTAATTGGCTAAGGATAGGTGAAATAATGCATGACTAAGGGCATGTGATTTAACATAATTGGTTGAACATGAAGAGAGGTGGCACCAGTTAAAGTTTAAGAAATGGCTCATATGTGTTGTTTCCAAAGTAAATATTTTGTTAAGTTATTAAGATGTCAAGAAAATTAGTATGTAAATTAAGAAATCAGTGTCCATTCCGAACATTTATAAGTCTGAAAAATATTTTGAACTCACCAAAATTATTAGTGAAAATGTCGAATGCTTGGAAAATCGTAACTCTGGAAATTTAAAACTTGAAAACCATCAAACAAGTAATTCGGAGCATATCCGTCTTTTTCTACAACTAATATGGCAGTAAATCAATTACCCCAACTCTACACCATCAACATACATGTTAATATTTAGTAACTTAATATTAACACATCGGACTACAAGCGGTAACTGTAACGCAAAATCATCCTAAATACTATTATTGAAAGTCGAAAATTTCATATGTCACACCTGCCTCCAATTCAAGTACCACACATTCCGACGGGACACCCCTACAATATGCTTTCTGGTCTGCTGGCTGACAATTCGGCCTAAGTGCGGTCGGGTTCCCGTATGAACCGTGATTTGGGGCATTTTCAAGACAATCTTCTCTGTCATATATGACATAATCTTAAGCTTTGATCCAAACTCCAAAACAACGAACTCAGCAAGAAATTGAGCAACAAAAACTGACCATGTCTCATGTATTTTCGCATAAGGCGGAGATTGTATAGGGAAACAAGTGCTTGAAGAGAGTACAAGTATGCCCCTCTATTGTAAGTCCAATTTTAATTGATTTCATGACGCATGGCAAAAACATGACCAGTCTAAATGGATGGATGTGTCAAATGATCAAAAGATCTCTCTCTCTCTCTCTCTCTCTCTCTCTCTCTCTCTCTCTCTCTCTCTATATATATATATATATATCTCTTTTATTAGATAGGTTATATGGATCATCTTCGAGTTACATAATTTGCAGGGAAAATTTCAATTAAGGACTCAAAGTTGGTCTCTTTTTTCAAAAAAGAACCCCAAGTGGACAATGTTTCAATTAATGACCCAAAATACTCAAACTAGTCTCAAATAAGAACCCAGCTCGCCGGCCGGCCAAATGTTCGCCGGCTGGCAACCGTGAGACATATTCCGGCACCGGAATAGGGTCAATTTTGTCTTTTTCTTTTCTCTCTTCCCTCTTGTGGCCATCGCCGGCGACGTCCGCCGGCCTTAGGCGAGAGCCGCCTTCACCAGCGTTGGGCGACGGCCGCCCCCACTTGGGTGGGCGAGGGTGGCCCTCGCCTAGGCGAGCGAGAGCCGCCCTCACCCTCGTCGGATCGGGGGAGGGTTGCCCTCGTCGGATCTGGCGAGGACCGCCCTTGCCCAACGCCGGCGAGGCTGAGGGCGGCCCCCGTCGCAACCCTCACCAGCCCAGAGGAGGGTTGCCCTCGCCCGACACCGGCGAGGGAAATACTCGCTTGGGCTGGCGAGGCCAAGGGTGCCCCTCGCCGGATCTGGGTGGGCGAGAACCGCCCTCGACTGGGCTGGCGAGGGTTGCGGCGAGGGCTGCGGCGAGGGCCGCCCTCGGCCTCACCGGCGTCGGACGAGGGTCGCCCTCGCCCTCGCCAGATTCGGCAAGGGCTGCCCTTGCCCTCGCCCGACGATCAAGGGCGGCGAGGCGACGGCTGGCGCCGCCCTCACGCAAAGTGACGCGACGGCGATGGCCACAAGAGGGAAGAGAGAAAAGAAAAAAGGAAAAAGAAAGAAAAAGACAAAATTGCCCCTATTCCGGCGCCGAAAAATGTCTCACGGTCGCCGGCCGGCGAACATTTGGCCGGCCGGCGAGCTGGGTCCTTATTTGAGACTAGTTTGGGCACTTTGGGTCCTTAATTGAAGCATTGTCCACTTGTGGTTCTTTTTTGAAAAAAGAGACCCACTTTGGATCTTTAATTGAAAATTTCCCTAATTTGTAGGCCGACGAAGATCACTCACTGATCATGTCAGGCAAGTCGGCATTATTTTGATGATAGGATGAAATTCACGACTTTCAGCCAAATTTTTCTCACAAGTCTAACTATATGACTAGTTGTGGAAGGCAAAGAGGTCATATATCATCTATATGCGTGAGAAAAACAAATATAGAGACTAATAAGTAATATGTTTCAGGATTGTATACGATGAGCATTTGCCATTTGCTCCAATCACGCATTCTTGTCGGAATTTTAGCTCTAGGGTAAATCACGCACTTTTAAGCATCTTATAATATATTTAGCTCTATGATGTTTAAGCATTAACCAATTTTTTTTTTCTTTTTGTAGACGACTGACGAAATTGCCATAAAATCACAAATTCGCGCGCGTGCGTTTCCACATTTCTAGGGAACAAAGCATCTATCAAGACAGATGGCATATTCGAGTGACATTTGATACGTAGATGGAAACGTTAGGAGGCTTTTTACAATTCTCCTAATAAAACATTAGATGGAAAGCATGCGTGAAACTATATTACTTGGATCACTCGAATATGCCATATGGTTATGCTATTTGGAAGATCTCCTCGTTCACTTATCGGCATTATATTATTTATTCGTCCCTATATTTTTTTCTAACTTAGATAGATGATATATGACCATTTTGCCTTCCACAACTAGTCACATAATCAAACTTATGAGAAAAATTTAGTTGAAAGACGTGAATTTCATCCTATCATCAAAATCATGTCGACTGGCCTGACAAAATCAGTGAGTGATCTTCGACGGCTTACAAATTATGTAACTCGAAAATTATCCCTATAACCTATCTAATAAAAGATATTTATAGGATCTTTTGTTCATTTGACACATTCATCCATTTAGACTGGACATGTTTTTGCCATGCATCATGAAATCAATTATAATTGGATTACAACAGAGCGGCATACGTGTACTCTCCCAAATTGCTCTCTTCAAGCACAAGTTTCCCTATACAATCTCTGCCTTATGCGAAGATACAGGAGAACTGTTCAGTTTTTGTTGCTCAATTTCTTGCCGAGTTCGTTATTTTGGAGTTTTGATCGCAGCGTAAGATCATGTCATGTATGACAGAAGATTGTCTCGAAAATGCCCCAAATCCGGGTTGATCCATCAGCCCGACCACACTAAGGCCGGATCGTCGGCCAGCAGACCAGAAAGCATATTGTGGGGGTGTTCCGTCGGAATGCGTGATACCAGCACTGGGGGCCGTCACTCGACTTGATATCCGATGGAAACGCCTTTTGATGCATTTTTTTCATCATAAGTAAGTTTTTTCTCCTATTTTGAATAAAACACAAACATAAGTTGTACAGAGAGAGCCTCTTAGGATTTTCTAACAAAACTTGACGAGAGAAACGTGAGTGCTTGTGAGGATTTGTGTCTAAGGACTTAGGAACATAGAGGTGATTCATTGTAACCCTATAACTTTGCTATAAATAGTGCATTCTCTGTGATTCGTTCTCTTTATGGAGTAGGTACCGATACTCGCGTTGTTTACCATGTTATTTTTACAATAAGACTTTTATTTCATATGTGAAAGAGAATCAAATGCAAAAGGAAATTGAATACGGATCAAATAGCGAGGACAATGTCCGGCAAGGAGCGGTTACGATGCAACCGGGGCTCACTCTGCCACACCCTAACCTCTTTACCAAAGGATCGGATGAGCACGGTGAGCCATGTGTTGAAGTACTCGCGGAACTCGGCGATGACGGGGTGGGAACCGTCCATCTTGAGGGTCCAAACGTGCACCCAGTAGGCATCCAGTCCATCCCAACCCTCGACGATCACCCGGTCGCAGAAGGCCATGATCCTCCTGGGCTTGAAACTGAACTTCCGGACCTCTCGTTCGCGCCGCCGGTGGTGACCCGTGAGCGCCCGCATCATGTACTGGCACTGCGGAGGCCCGTGGTATCTCCACTCCAGGTCGTCGTTCGACGTCACTAGCTTCGAGACCGCATCCCTGTCGCCAGCCGCCAACGCCTTGTACAGCATCGCCACCACCTTCTTGTTCAGCGCCTTGTGAGTAGGGTTTCCACCACCATCTTCTTCCTCCATGTTCACCCTCATTTTCTTTCTTTTGGATCTTGGGTTCGGCGAGAGACACCCACAAAGTCACCGAGATTCGAGACTTGATCGGCTCAACTCCCGTGGCAGGATCCAGCGAGCCTGCTCTGATTATATATACAGCAAACGGAGGGTTCCACAAAGTCAACAACTAACGCAATTAATTAGTCAAAGAGAAACACCACCACAAAAGAAAATTTAGAATAATCAGCAGCACAACTATTGTCGGGATTACTTTAACAAATTGCATGCATGATCTTACGTAACATCTACCTGTGTTGCAACGAATGTACAGGAGGTAAAGTCTACCTTGTAAGCAACTGCGTACGTACAGCATCTTCGACCAATAAAATCAAGGAGCAAAAACAGCTGTGATGATTCATTCGCCGTCCTCGAAACGTGCTTATCCGGGGAGCAGATTGGGGAGCAGATTCATCCTTGAACTTGATCAAGACATAACTCTTTTTCAAATTAAACTTCTTTTTAAATTAGATAACGACTCTGAAGGCACCACTATTTAGAAGTCCACAGTGCTGACTAAATGAAAGGCGGTAAAATACTTAATTACGCTTCAAACAGCCAGCTCATATATATACCTAACACGCTTTTTGGCTAAATTATACAACTACCGTCCATATGAATACGTTATGTAACCTGGAAATACATGAAACACCCTGTAAGCCCATCATAGATTGGTTAAGTTTAAGACCTTGGCCAGTGCATGTGGTGCTGACACAGAACAATTTGCACGCGGTTTGTGAGATTTGAATGAGTGACCTTTGGTTCATGAGCTGAAAATCTCTTAATGCTCTAATCAATTATGCTAACCTTGAGGGTTGATTAAATTGAATTGCATTAATTGTAGGTAAAGAATATCATCAAGGAAATCTGGTAATGTATGCATTGGTGAAATGGCCGAAGCCAATTCCAAACATAAGCATGTATAGAGATTTTTGTCATGAACGTATACATATATACGTGTAGCAAGTTTTGACCAAAAAAAAATACTTGTAGCAAGTCTCTATAGAGATTTTTGTCATTGATGGTGAAGTAATCCACAAATGGATAACTCGATGTCTCACATTATATTTGCTTCAATAGTTGTTAGAAAAAGGTGATCACATAATCAACCACGTTGTGCAGAGATTTTTTTTTATTTTTCCTAAGTTTCCATAGCTTATTTCAAACGTGTTTTACAGTCTTCATGCAAACGTTACCGATCTCTGTAGTTTTTGCACATGAATTTATTCGGACTAACAAGAACCACAAGTTTCGGAGGCAAGAGGTATTGTTTGGTGAGTGTTGATGATTTCTCGAGGTATACGTAGGTAATGTTTCTAGCCCATGAGCACAATGTATTCCAATCTTTCATAAAATTTGCACAAAGAGTTCAAAACGAAAAAGGATACAGTGTCACATCAATACGAACTAATCATGGAGGGGAATTTAAAAGTAATGTTGAGTGATCATCTATACTTATTGTTGTTTTGATCATCATGTTTAGCTTATCACGAGCTTGTTCTATTAACTCACTTGTGTAGTAGTTTAAATTATGCAATAACACTTGCAATATTGCAAAGAATAGAAAAAAAAAAAAGGAGATTCGGCTGGTTCCTGCACCCACCTAGGAACCGAACCGGGCTAGTCGATTCAGTTCCCAGATGGGTCCAGGACCAAGTAGGCCACTTCCTAGTTCCACAAACCAAGAACTGGCTCTTCTGGACCGATTCCCGATTCCGATGTGAAAATCGACCCATCCTGAAACCAATCACCCTCAATAAATTGATATGACAAATGGATATTAAAAGTGAGGAAGATATTTGATATGTAGATACAGACGTTAGGAGGCCTTTTACAATTATCTAGATAAAACATTAGATGGAAAGCATTCATGAAACTAAATTACCTAGATAATCGATTTCCACGGAATCACTCGAATATGCCGTCTGGTTATGCTATTTGGAAGATCTCCTCCATCACTTATCAGCATCATATTTAGATTTGATGTGGATGACATTGGCATTAATCACATTCTTGTTGGAACTTTAGTTGTACATGCTCTCACATGTAATACATCTAATATAATCAACACATCATCTAACCTTTTAATTGAAAAGATAATAATAAAAAAAAACCGCCTCATCCAGGATTTTGCGCCATATTGGATCTCGGTTTGCCATTTGAGTCCTCATCATCGATTGTCTCCGAATCATTTGGAACAGATGGAAAGCTGAACAGAGGAAAAGGAAAACCCTAGAGCATCAATATCCATTTGAAAGTATCGACTTGTCAATCCTGTGCATGATGCTTCTCACTGAGTTTGATTAATTTTAGATTGAGAAATCTATTTTTGAGGCCCGCTACGTATTAGAGTTATCTAACGATATGAAAATGAAGCCCACCAACTTTACCCTTTTAATAAGTCCATTATTTCCAAAGACAAAACAATGTCTAATGATACCACTAACAAATTCTCAGGCTCCATTTGTTTCACGAAAAATGAATGATTTGGAAAATATTTTCATAAAAATGATCGCTCATATCGCTTGAAATAGTTAGCCAATAAAAAAATCATTATCGATAATAATTTATGCCTAAACATTTTCGTAAACGATGAAAAAGTTTTACTTTCATTCATTTTTGCAAGCTATATAAGCGATCATTTTTTGAAAAAAGTTTTCAAAATCATTTATTTTTCACGAAACAAACGTAAATTTGCACTTTTTTTTATTCAATTTGATTGTACTAAGATCAAATTTATAACTGAGTATATATTACTTAGCAAACTCGAGTATAGTCAAGGCACTAATTGCCGGAAAATCACAAGAGATGAAAGAACCACAACGAGATAGTACGACCAAACTGTGTCGACAGACAAAATTTACCTAGATTAATTCTTCTAAAAATCATTTGAGAGTCAATTAACAACCAAGGAAAATTTGTTCTGTGAAATAATTGAACATATAAGTCATTATGAAAAAGGGTTTTGTAGAATTAATTCACCCACTGTTATAAATAGGTTTCAGCTTGAACTGTGGTTGAGCACAAATCAACAGTGACTCAAGACTCCTTAACATGAACTTTCACCATTACTTCATCAATAAATTGAGTGATCAACAGGAGTGCGGTTTATTTTGTTGGAGTATAGTTCATACTTCCCAGCGACAGGACAGCACGGGGGTCCCGTTTTTGTATCTCAAATTCTTTTTCTCGCTTTAACTCTCTATTTTCTTTGTGATTGTCCGGCAAATCCATACATATTTTAGTATTGCATTATCTTATTTTCAAAATACTCATGAACTTTTATCATTAATTACTTTGTTCCCAAGTTATCCACAATTGAGATCAATCTTGCACTTCATTCACTAATTATGGATTTTCTTTCTCCATACATTAAACTACTATTGGGTTATTGCCATTTCACCCAATCATGTTGGGTTCACGTGATAAAATATTTTATGATTTTACCAAACACATAAGGAAAGCTTAGATATAAAAAATATAACTAAGTGACTAAGTCGGTCTCTAAAATAACTGACTTAGCAATGAGCTTAAAAATAATATTACAAAATCAAAATCCATAAGCATGACTCGAGAGATATAGAAAAATTATCAAATCAGTTTTAAACCTAGCATAACAGGGAAAAACTTTGTTATTAAACCAATTGACACTGGTTCAAAAAAAAAAAAACAATTGACACATACACACACGTATACACACACCATACAAACCCTAATTATTAGTTATTTTTCAACAATTTCTTTCACGTCGCACCCACTTAGGTTGGAAGAATCAAGGGTCACGTTACCCCAGCTGTAGCTACTTTTTTTTTTTTGGGTCAAAAAGCTGCACCTACTTTTTTTGGTCGGAAGCTGTACCTGCTTAATTTAGCTGATAAATCACACTTTTTAAGTATTTCATATATATTTAGCTCTATGATATTGAGAGTTGACCAATTTTTTTTTCTTTTTGTAGAGCGACTGACGAAATCGCTATAAAATCACGAATTCGCACGCGTGCGTTTCCACGTGTCTGGGGAGCAATGCATCTATCAAGACATCTCTTGTCTTAATATTACTTGCGAATGGTGTAATGTACTGTACAAACGTCAGATCTATCAATTGTCTCATTCACTCAATTGGCAGGCTTGAGGAATAGTAAAAGTCAATTCAGTTAACAAAGATGATAACCTGGATTGTCCCTCGAGTTTGGTGGGTCATCCACATCAAAGACAAATATTTTGCTGATAAGTGATTGATGAGATCTTTCAAATAGCATAACCAGATGGCATATTCGAGTGATCACGTGGAAATCGATTATCCAGTAATTTAGTTTCACGCATGCTTTCCATCTAATGTTTTGTCGGGATAATTGTAAAAAGCCTCCTGACGTCTGCATTTACTTATCAATACAATCCTCATTTATGATATCTATAACTTGTATCTTGAATTTTGCCATTTTCATATCGATTTATTACGAGTGATAAGTTTCAAGGCAAGCCAGTTTTCACCTTGGAACCGGAACCGGTTTAGAAAAACTGTTCCTAGCTTGTGGAATTGGAAATTGGCCCACTTAGTCCTAGACCCATCCTAGAATCGAACCAACCAAACCAGTCTATTTTCGAGGTGGGTCCATGAATTGGCCGAACCTCCTTTTTTTTTTCCCATGTTCTACAAGACAACAAGTGTTGTTGTATAATCTAAACTACTAAACGAGTGATGTTAATAGAATAAGCTCGTGATAAGCTAAACATGATGATCAAAACAACAATAAGTATAGATGATCGCTCAACATTACTCTTAAATTAGAATTACTAGAAATTGAACTCAAACAATTAATGGAAAATCTCACCCAAAAAAAATCGATCAGGTCCGAGTGGTCCGGATAAGTGGTTCCACACCTGAAACCGTGAACCGGATCGATATTTACCTGTTCCAAATTTTAGGAATAGGGAATCGGACCAATTCCCCTGAGAATCATTTAGAATCGG